GTCTGACTACAATAGAGTATTACGCGACATAACATATAATACAGCAAGGAGCCTGATCTTGATTTATTTCTACAACCTATTTATTGAAGACTACTGGTCAGTAAATGTTACATTCTGATGCTAACTGCGATAATTGTAAGGTTAAGCGATCGCGGAATTATTATCTAAGAAAGAGTTACTATCGCCGCCCGCCTTGGGAGTTTGTTGTGGTGCTTCGTCATTCCTTTCGATAGGCAGCTTGCATAATTGACTGACGACGCACGCCTTCTCGTAGATGAAAGCGTCTTCACATCCATTACTCTAACGAGACCGTGAGGGTCAGGATATGTCTTTACTATTCTTCCAAGCTCCCACTTGGTCGGCGGTAGCAACATGTTTCTAATTAGCACCAGATTATCAACCTTCAGGTTAGCCGTTTTCTGACGCCACTTATAACGCTGTTGTAGCGTATGTAGATAATCTCGCGACCATATCCGCCAAAACTGTTCATGCATCCGCTGTACACGTTGCCAATGATTGAGTCGCGACTCCTTCAAGTTAACGGACTCCTCAGGTACTGCGATTAACGAAGTACCTATCAAGAAATGAGCCGGTGTTAAGGGTGAAAGATCAGAGGGATCATCGGACATGGGAGCAATCGGTCTAGAATTCAAGCAGGATTCTACCTGAGTCAATAATGTGACAAACTCCTCATTATAAAGCGTATGCGCACCAATTACACGGCGTAAGTGGTGCTTAACGGACTTTACGCCGCCTTCCCACATTCCTCCAAAATGTGGGGCTGAGGCGGTATAAACCGCCAAGTTATGCCGTCGGAGGCTAAATACGCGACAAGTTCTGAATCACGGGACAGAGCCCTGATCGCATGGCGCAACTCCCTGTCAGCACCCTTAAAATTGATGCCATTGTCGCTAAATAAGGAGGCAGGAAGCTCTCTACAAGAAGCGAATCTTCTGAAAGCGGCTAAAAAACCATCGCTAGTATAATCGTTAGCCAGTTCTAGATGTATGGCCCTGGTGGTCAAACAAACAAACACAACCACATAAGCCTTGTGGGTGCGTTGACCGCGACCCACTGTCGGTAGCACCAGAAAAGGTCCGGCGTAATCCACGCCGGTATGTTGGAATGGCGGGATGGATTGACTCGAACATCAGGCAGATTACCCATGAGCTGCGGGACGGTATAGCCCTGTGGCGAACACAGACAACACACCTATGAACGTAAGATTTTACAATGTTACGAGCATTTAGAAGCCAATATTGTTGGCGTAAAACTCTTAAAGTCAACTGTGTTCCGTTGTGTAGCGTGCGACTGTGGGCTGCGCGACAATAGATCCGATATACGATGCCTGGGTAAAATAATGGGATGTCTCTCATCGTAAGACAGTGAGGCCTGGGAAGGCGTCCCCCAACACGTAGGACACCTTAGAGTCCAAAAACGGATTCAGATTTCTCAACGGACTAGATTTAGACGGGCAGCCACCCCGCTCTATTTCCTGAGTCTCGATCGAAAAGCTGAATCTCTGTACATATATAATCCAGAAGTTCCGAGCTTGCTTGACAACGTCACCCAACTCAGGCGCTATGTTTACTTGAGCGTTATCAACTCGTCTAAGACGTTGTCTAATCCTGTAGAAGAATAAAAGGCAATATGCCGTGATCCGCAAAAGCCTAGGCCAACTAGAGACCTGGTCGGGAAGATCCCAGTCGGCTGTGCACCGCTGAATTAAATGAACGAGAACGGTACGTCGCTCCATGTTCCCTTCGGTTCGAAGAGAAGAGGGCTGCTCCGGCCAGAGTGTGGAAGTTGACTGTAACCATGGAGGCCTAGTCTACCAACGAGAATGCGACTTTAGTTCTTGAACGCTGATGCCGCGCGACGCGCAGTCCGCGGGGTTATTCTTTGACCCGACAAATAACCACTGAGCTTGCGGCAGGCTCGTCTGGATCTCTGACACCCTATTAGAGACAAAAGTTTTTCAGGTAGTAGGATGTTGCCTAATCCAAGCAAGAGTTATCATTGAGTCTGACCAGCAGTACACTGGAACTAAGTTTAATTTAAGGATATTTATCACATATTTAAGAAAACGAGCTAATAAAGTTGCTGCACACAGTTCTAGCCTAGGCACGCTAATAATTTTAACAGAAGCTACCTTAGATTTACAGGCCAGCAGAATCACTCCAAAACTATTTAAAGAATGAATTACACGAATATATATAACAGCCGCATAGGCTCGGATGGAGGCATCTGCAAACCCATGTAATTCGATACCGAGATCGGAAGCGCTTTGGTTCGTCCACCGTGAGATCGAGATGTCCTTGAGCTCGGTCAAGCTACGAGAATACTCATGCTATCGCGTCACGAAATCACTTGAGAGCGGAGTATCCCAATCGAATTTTCGCAGCCACAGTTCTTGCATGAAAATCTTTGCCGTAATCACCACAAGGGCAATCCAACCCAGTGGATCAAAGAATCGTGAAATAGCGAATAGCACGTCGCGTTTGGAAGTTACTGAAAGCTCCGGAATTCGAATACTAAAGTGGAATCGATCTAAGGTAGGACTCCAAGAAATACCTAAAACCTTTAAAGAGGAATCCTCAGCAAATTCGATGCTATTGCCGTCCAGACGATCAGACAACGGTACTTCAGCTAATAGTTCGTCATAATTTAACGTCCACTTACGGAGGTGAAAACCTCCCTTTTCTAACAGACTGTTCAACTGTTGACGAGTGGCTTGTATGATGGGCACATTATCTCCCCCAACAACACATCATCTACGTAGATGGAATTGTTGAGTACAGACACAGCTAACGGGAATGCAGATCCCTCGTCCTCACATAGTTGTCGTAAGACACGCATGGATAAATAAGGCGCTGAACCGTGTCGTACGTGACGGTGAGTAAACGATAATGAGCAACCGGTTCATCCGGGTGAGGGCGCCATAATATCCTTTGAAAGTCAGTGTCTATCGGATGAACCATGATCTGTCTGAACATTTTAGCGATGTCAGCAACGAGAACTAAGCGATGAGTTCGCCAGCGCATAATAATAGATAAAAGATCCGTCTGCAACTTGGGACCTGTTAGCAGCAGATCATTTAACGAAATCCCATTGTTCATAGGACTCGAGGCGTTGAATACAACCCGTATTGGAGACGTACTGCTACTTGCCTTCACCACTGGATAGTGAGGCAGATAGAATGAGTTATTATTAATAACCTCTCTCTGAAGAACACGGGCCATATGACCCATCTGTTCATATTCCAAAATAAAGTTACAATAACTTGCAGCCAAGTCAATATTACGCTCTAAACGCCGCTCTAACTTGTCGAAAGCGCCAGAAGCGACGTGAAGCAAACGACCGACCTTGGTTATGTGATCCGTTCAAAAAGGTAAGCGAACAAGATAACGTCCACTAGGTAACCTTGAATGAGTAGATGCGAAATGCGTTTCGCACTCGACCTCCTCTTCAGTGAGGGAACTACTAGCAGAGACTTCCTCTATCTCCCAAAACTGCTTTAGTAACGCGTCTGTACTAGAAGAGATAGAGCAGTGTAACAAAGGCAGTAAACGAGGAGTGCCTGAAGGCTCGTCGTTGAACGGACCGAGGACAACCCATCCAAATATGGTACGGTACGACCAGGGCTCTGTCTTTGGCGTAGTCCGTCTAGCACAATGGAACCATAACTGTCAGCTCCGATCAATAGATCGATCGGTTCACCACCGAACGGATCGGGATCCGCGAATTGTAAGTTCTGCAAATAAGGATACGTAAACAGATTAACAGTACGCTTAGGCGTATACGAAGTTAATATAGGAAGGATGAATGCTGTCACTGTAACCGTAGCGCTCGTAGCCGAGCTTGCGCTTAGATGGAGTTTAACTGCATGATGAGAGACTCCAGTCGATTGGTCACCTATGCCAGTGACCTTGACATATACCTTACTACGTTTTGCCTTCAAAACTTGGACGGCCCTTTTAGTTATAAACGTAGCCTCCGAGCCTGTATCAATCAATGCTCGAATATTTAAACAACGAGCCTTGTTACTACTTACAGAGATTCGAGCAGTGGCTTGCAATACGACATCAGTGATTGGAGGAATGTGGGAGGGGCCAGGAACAGCTAACGTAGCTGAAAGGCTGGCTTTTGAAGGTATGGTATTTACAGCATTTATATTTGATATACCTTTGTAGCAGGAATATCGATCTGCGTTGGCCCACCGCTATTAGGAGACGCGTAGTGTCTCCGGCCATGTTCAAACCTAAAAGACCTTAATTCAAACCCTAAAAGACCTTAAAAGACACTACAAGTCTCCTTATCCTGCACCATCAAAGTCCATTTTTGGGGGTGTAGAACTACTAAAATATAAAAAATTTTGAATTGCACGTATATAACCTGAAAGGCGGCATCGCCACGAGTAATTTGAGCCAAGAAGGAATAAAATCGGTCAAGCCGTTCTGGAGATACAAGCGGTCAAAAAGTGACGTTTTTCATGAAAAATGAAGTAACGTCGTCTTCTCTGTCCGCGTCCGCTGACGTCATCAGGATTATATATATATATAATCTTAAAAAAATCATAAAAATGAAAAGGTCAGGCCATGTTTCAAAAGAAGGTACTCAAAAATTTAAACCTTTAAAAATTTAAACGATCTAATAATAAATTATCACGAAAAGTAACTGATATGTTTTTCAAGGTGCCAGTTCAAAGTGAACATACGTAAAGTGTATATTTATCTAAATTTAGTAATAATATATTACCATGAAAAGTAACTGATATGTTATTCAAGGTGCCAGTTCAAAGTGAACATACGTAAAGTGTATATTATCTAAATTTAGTAATAATATATTACCATGAAAAGTAACTGTGATATTTTATTCAAGGTGCAAGTTCACATTGAACATACATACATATAAGTAAAACTGATTACAATTTGATTCTAGAAAATAAGTGCGATATGTTATTCTTAGTGCACAAAATATAATAGTCGTTTATAGAGATTTGATTTGAAATTCATACTAGCCCGTACAATGAAAAATAATTGCTCGTAATTCAGAGTACCAATTTGTTAATGACTCAGAAAAATAACATGGCGGCCTGCTCTCAAAAAACTATGATGTTTCTCGATGTCCATTTAGAATACCATGTCGAAGCTCTTACAGAATAATTACTACAACATTTGAAGTACGAAAAGTATTACATTAGAAGAAGATTAGATTAGAATAAGGATTCAACGTATTTTTAAAGTTCTACACAAACGAAGTGATATACAAAAACTATATACAAATACCTTTTTCTTCTGTGTTCTGAAGAAAATTGTAAGTCAAATGAAACCTTGCTATTCAAACCTATTCTTCATGATCGCAAGACACTATTTTCTATTTAAAAGACGTATGCTAAAATTTTAAAAATAGATATTATTTATGATAGAAAAGAATTTGTGCTTTACAGTATATGGATAGTACATGGTTATTTCAAACAAACTGAACATGCATACAACAAACTTTTCTCTGTCTGTTCAATAAATTACTGATAATGTTAAATCCTAATCACATATGCCACCTTGCCTAGGTAATGATGGTCATTAACGGATTTTACTAAAAAAAGATTGGAGATTTTTAATTTATACAATTTTCACAACTCTTATTTCAATTATTTATTCTATCCATCGAAAGTTTTTTGAAGCAGCCGCCATGTTATTTTTCTGAGTCATTAACAAATTGGTACTCTGGAATTACGAGCAATTTATTTTTCATTGTACGGGCTAGTATGAATTTCAAATCAAATCTCTATAAACGACTATTATATTTTGTGCACTAAGAATAACATATCGCACTTATTTTCTAAATCAAATGTAATCAGTTTTACTTATATGTATGTATGTTCAATGTGAACTTGCACCTTGAATAAAATCACAGTTACTTTTCATGGTAATATATTATTACTAAATTTAGATAATATACACTTGACGTATGTTCACACTTTGAACTGGCACCTTGAATAACATATCAGTTACTTTCATGGTAATATATTATTACTAAATTTAGATAATATACACTTTACGTATGTTCACTTTGAACTGGCACCTTGAATAACATATCAGTTACTTTTCGTGATAATTTATTATTAATCGTTTAAATTTTTAAAGGTTTAAATTTTTGAGTACCTTCTTTTGAACAAGGCCTGACCTTTTCATTTTCATCATGATTTTTTTAGATATCAGTTACTTTTTAAAGTACAAATATATAGAGCAGCTTTTCTAGTAATTCAAGTATCACAAATATATGTATTTTCGATTCTTATCACATAACTTTGTATAAGTAAACATTTATGCAATACAGTTCAAATAATTGAAATATATATGGTATATATGTACATATATAAAATATATAATTATATTATAGTATACATATTATTTTATTTAATCATATATGTAAATGTTTGTATAATTGTAATAACTTTTAACGATACATTGCACATTTATTTTAATTGCAACAAATGAATTTATATTCTTGTATGAATATTGAAAATAAAGAATGGGCCCCCTCCATCGCCCATTTTCATGAGAAACCACCATATATTTTTTTTCGTCTCTCCGATTTTAACACGACATATTGTCGATTCTTATCACATAACTTTGTATAAGTAACAATTTATGCAATACAGTTCAAAATAATTGAAATATATGGTATATATGTACATATATAAAATATATAATTATATTATAGTATACATATATATTTTATTTAATCATATATGTAAATGTTTGTATAATTGTAATAACTTTTAACGATACATTGCACATTTATTTCAATTGCAACAGAATGAATTTATATTCTTGTATGAATATTGAAAATAAAGAATGGGCCCCTCCATCGCCCATTCTCGTGAGAACGCAACCATATATTTTTCTTCGTCTCTCCGATTTTAACACGACATACATATTTCTGTCTGATAATTTTTTTCTTGATGATACTTTTTGAAATGTCATGAAGCCTAGGTCAAATAAGAAACTTATTGCACTCGTTTTAATGCAGCGCTTACAGCAGCTTTTATAAAGCGCCAGAGCAGCCGATATTTTATTTTGGCGCTTACGGCAACTTTTATACAGCGCTAGAACCTTGATGTTTTAATGTAGCGTTTACGGCAGCCTTTATACAGCGCCATTATTTAATCTGTTCTAAGAACAATATGTATGCCCCTTGTGCTCCTTTGGGCCATTTTTTCTTGAACACTTCCATATCATTAGAGTAATACCATTCCGATTTTGTGTCAGCTCTCAACATACACGTGTAGTGACCACGATTCATTTCTTCACCTTCGTGAAATATAGCGCTTATTAGCTTGTACTTTTTTTTATTAATCGTGATATTACTCGTCGGCACGGCGGTAATCCGATTGTTGATAATTTTTTTAGAAGCACCGTTTACAAAAGTATATAAATTGAGCTGTATTACTACGACGGATAAAGTTGATTCGATTACGGTTTTCTTTTTCAACACGGTGCCCTTACATTCGTTACAATTGCCGTTTATCGTTTCCCATTTAGAAAATTCTACATTAATCAAACTTTGTAGAGTGACACCTTTTTTCCTTTTTAATGTCGAATGTATAGGTAATATTAACAAACTACTGCTTTCCAGCTTAGTTACATTGTAATTACATTTGACATTCGAGCAACATGTTACGTGCTTTAATTCGAGTTTTAATACATTATTGATGTCGGAATACGTCGACATTAGAGCCGTAAAAAATTCCGAAACATCTTGTGTTCGTTCTTCGAAGCGTTTTCCGACAGATCTTCTAACTGCTTGAATGTTGCAATATTTACGTTCACCATACGCGCAGATAGCATCAGTCAATGCATTCGATGCTTTATTTTTCAGTATTTGTTGCCTAATACGTACGCAATGAAACGCATTGTAATATTACATTAGCGTAACACGAAACAGATCGTTATTGCAAACATCCATATATTTAACACGTAACTATACTTATCTTATTCCATCACATATATTAATTCCACGTAAACTATACTTTCTGGTTCCTCACAATCATAATTCTGATCATCATATTAGGGATATCCCATCGACGATCGTACATTTTCACAACCTTTTTCTCGGACGGATTGATTTGTGGCAGTTCAGATTTGAATATAGATCTCAGTCGATTATATTCTACAATGGCTCTCGAGTTTGCTTTAACTGATGCTGGATTGAAATTTATCAAATGTAGGCCTTCCAATTTACTTAC